GACGTGTGCTCTTCCGATCTCCACAATGTATCATTAGCTCAGCGTTAGCGTACAAGTCTACTGTTCTAGGGATCTCAGGTTCGAATCTTGATGTTTCAAAAAATTATAAACGTGCGTATAAATTGTAATTAATAATTAAATCGAAAATAGTAAATAGTAAATACGGAATAGTAAATACGGATTAAACTCTAAAAATAATATGTAATAAAATAAAAAAAAAATTTTTTTTCAATATTTACGTAATTGAGTAACATAACTGTTACGTAAAATGTAACATTACGTTGTTACGTTGTTGAGGCGGAAATTGAAACTTACAACTTTTTAAGTTACTTGTAACATCACCGTAACATTATTGTTACGTTGAATTGTGTAACAGTAATGTAACAATAACATAACTGTGTTTAGTGGGTAATTGCATTTTTTAACATGTGTTCGATGACGTGACCGCGAGACATTTAGATTGAAAAAATATTATATTACGCGAATCTAATGTGTCACAGCTGCCGCACATCGGTGCTTCACCAAAATGTTAAATTGCTGTTTCTACGCGTGTTCGACGATGTGATTTCATCGCGAGACATTATGGCTGCTTGTATAAATACTCTCAGGATTTCACATTGTTAAATTGTTTGGTGACATGGCTACGTTCGGGCGAGTGTCTCCTCCTTGGTGGAGAAGAAAACGACATCAATATTGTTCTGCGATTGTTCGTCTTCTTCGTGAAAGAGAATGTGGATTTCCAAATGTGCTTACTCGCGTTAAGAAGAAATGTCCCGATCATTCGTTGCAGATGCGTGTAATTAGACATTGCCGTGATATGTATTGGAACAGTGTTACAGAGTCAATCCTTTATACATGTAAATGAACAATTTATGATATCAGTAATCACCGCTACACAGAAAAGGAGTCACGCTACACAGAAATTGAGTCACGTTTCGATGTGTGGTGGAATTCGTTCCTTTTCCACCAATCAGGCAAGGATCCTAATGAATTTAACGCCAGGGGTATAAGAGTTTCGTTCAATTGCCACAATGGACAAAAATGGGCATTTATAGATGTGAAGTTATGTATAGATATACAATTGCGGGACCGCGAGATTGTCAGTCGCACTTTGAAATCTGTATTCGAAAGAACGTTTGACAGAGTGGTGCTAGATTGGCCTATCGTCTTTCAACAATAATGAATTTCTATGTTCCGCTGAAGGATGAGGCGATCGAGAGACCGTAAATTTCAATAAATTATTTTCCACGCTTAATTTATATTTTTCCATGCTTTAATTCGTTTACAGAATTGCGTCTCATATTTCGAAGACGCCTCATATATTGGGAAGAAGATTCGCTCTAACATCCACTAATTTTAAATTCTTGGATATTGGGATCAGCGTGGGATCTATATCTATGTGGAAATACTTATTGGTGATAACCGAGGCAATCACATTATCCTGCCTTATGGAATGTGGAGGATGTTTATCAAGAGACATATGGATATTGAACAATTTCTGCAATCAAGCGCTCCGTCCTCACTACGAATTCAAGATTTGGTTGTAGATCTCGTAAATACGTAATGAAAATATTATAAAATTGATGCTGATTGATACTTGTATGTAGATGAAACCGTCAACTTTGATTTTTATATTCAAACTCGAACATTGCGTTGAGCATGCATACTTTAATTTAAGTTAAAGTATGCATGCTCAACGCAATGTTCGAGTTTGAATATAAAAATCAAAGTTGACGGTTTCATCTACATACAAGTATCAATCAGCATCAATTTTATAATAAGTTAAAATACGGACACCGTTAGTAATAGTTTGGAAGAGCAC